CCAGATATATTTTCAAGGTAACACCCATGACCATCCAGACAGATCCAGAAATGTGCTTTAATAATCTCCTAGGCAGCTGCCAAACCAATCATACTGATAATAAAGATTAATCATTGTGAGGATTATGCTTGCTTACCCTCAAAGTTGAACACTGAGTAAAATAAATGGCAGTGTGTGTCTTCCTCCATTAAGAGCCCTCATTAACTCAACATTCTGTTTAAGCAAGTGGATTTCTCAAAGAAGAAATGAACTGAAAGCAGACAGATAGATTTGGAATGATGAAATGCATTCCTGCTTGGTTAATCTTGAAAAAGGAATGGAGTAGGCATGCTAGGAACTGCATTGTGTTTGTGAATCACAAATCTTCTAGATTATCAGGTTTTAACACCACTTTTTTTTTTTCTTTTGAGACAGATCCTGCCCTGGAGTGATCCATAACCAGAGTTTGGCTGGGCTGCCCCAACTGATTTTTTAAGATTTGCTGGGTGGGTTGGGTATAGAAACAAATATAGTAAGACAGAATCTCTCACACACACGCGTGCGTGTGCGCACACACACACTTCCACACCTGTGTGTGTATGTGTGTATGTTTGTGTGTGTGAGAGTTTAAAGGAGAATACTTATCTCACCAAGGTAAGGCAAGTACTCTCTGTAATGATGTGTAGCTATAATAGCCACTGTCTTATTTACTTTTCACTGAGACAAAATACCCCCGCCAAACAAGTTAAAGAAGAAATAGTTGGTTTCAGCTCACAGTTTATAGTTCAGTCCATAGCTGGCTGGATTCAAACCAGGGCTGCATAGCAGGGGAGATACAGTCCATGGCAGAGCAATCAAAAGGCAGCAAGCAGCGACAGCAACATGCCTTCCATCTTTCCCTTCTATTCCATACAGAGTACAAGCCTTTTGGGTGGTGCCACCCACACCCACTCACGAAGAGCATGGGAAAAAATAATCAAAAGATGCCATATTGTACATAACCCAAGCACCAGGCCCAATCTCCGACATCATATTTTCTACCTTGGTGTTAAGGAGTCTTGCATAGGAAAAGCTTTCCCTATTTCATGTACTTGTGAATTGCTTGGAAGACTCTAGTCTTTCCCCCCACCCCAGCTTATGCTTCCCTAAGGGACTTGTTTGCCACCTTGCATTTCAATCTGTTCATCTGGATGCTTCCTTTGAAGACTTTCTTTATTATTTGACTCCTAGGAGCTGGTTTTCGCCCCTGAAGGGGCTTCCCCAAGCAACAGGCTGCAACGTGTAAGTTTTCTTTTTGCCTGTGGAACAGTGGTGGTTTTTATCTGCATTATTGTTCTCCTTCTTGAAGCAGCCTGCCCCGAAGCTAACAGATGTTTGCATTGAGGTCTCCCCTCTAGATGAATACAATCCTCCCAGAGGCTAATGCTTGCTGGAGAAGTTCTTTTGTGCACCTATGAAGCATAACTGAGCCCTAAGCAACTATTTTTGATGTATGCTTTGTGATTGGGGAAGAAAAGAAAAAATTCAAATAGCATTTCTTTTAGCCAAACTATTTCTTGCAGATGAGAATTTTTGTTGATCGAAGGCTTTCTCTGATGTGAGCTTTGCCCTCTCCAATTAAACAAAAGGTTATATTGAGATTACTTTTTCTTGTATTGCTCTTGAATTTTGTTGGACATAATACTTCATTGGCCAAATGGATCAGGCAGTTGTCTTCTGATCTCTATCTTTCTTAGATTACTGAGGAAAAAAATTTCATCCAAGCATAAAATATCTTATTCAGAGTCAATCTTCAAAAGGTGCAAGTCTACAGACCTGCAAAAATTGAAATGCATATACTTATTTTTGGATGGCATTAGTTGTGCCTCAGTATCTTGGATCCCTATTTTTCATAAGATCTAAGATCAATGTATCCTAAGATAGCAGCATTTTTTATAATTGGCTGATACATTATCATCTTTCAATACCAAATATTAACTTTGACTATGAAGTCAGGAAACCATATAATGACTTTGAACAAGGGATAATTTGACTTTTGAGGACCTGTGATGCTAACAGAAAAGTTTTGAAACAGTGACATATCTTTAGAAAAAAGTTTAAGCTCAGAATCTAATGAAATACTTCTCGAGTCTTATTTATTGAACTATGATAACCTGGTGTCTACATTCACCCATGAATACATAAGAAAACAAACCATAAGATATAGTGAGTGGTCAGTCTGACTGTAACTATTCACCTTCAAAGTGGGCAAAAGCCTAATATTTCAGAGTCCACATATCAGAAGAGGGGGGAAAAACTCAGGAATTTAATTGGCAAAGGAAAAATACAAGCTTCATCCTTAGAGAGAAACCTGTGAACCTCAAGTCATTAGAGAGTAATGAAGACCGAGGAGCTCTCTCTGTCTCTGTCTCTATTTCTATCTCTGTCTCTGTCTCTCTGTCCTTTCTCTCTCTCCCCGCCCGCTGTCTCGCTCTTACTCTCACCCTTGCTCTTTGCAAACCTAGACCACACTATTGATTACTGACTACTCATTGCTGAAGGCACTACTCTGTGTTCAATAAATTAAAATTTAATTCCTGAGTCCAACAAAATAATTGACCTCAAAAAGAAGATAAATGAATAGATTGTTCAGAGCTTATGATTAGAATCCACTTCCAATCTTGTTATATTAGTATTTTTCAATTCAGTGATTTTCCCACTCTATCCTATCTTATTCTGCAATCTATAACACTTTTCACCCTGTTCCTCTATCAGCAAAGCCATGTTTTTTCATTCTTGCTTTCAAGATCAAAAGATTTTATTTACTTATGTTTATACTTATGTTTAGTTATGGCTATATGCTGGCATTGATATTGATAATATTGGCATTGATACTGATGATTTAATATAGTTTTCATTTTAGAACTACAAAACTACTATTTCTGCAAAAATTTATTATGCCCTTTGTTTCATATAGTCATAAATAACTTTGCCATATAGCATACATAATTATGTGCTTAACCTCTAATTTTGCTTCCTAAATCTTTGTAGGTTACACTGTTTCTTTTTATATTATTATAGTTGTCTAACTTTATGGAATACAATATGATAATTTGATATATAGAATTACAATGATGAAATCATTGTACAGTGCTCATCATTTTACACTATTTAAATAGAATGTTTCCACCTCATTAAATATTTTGAAAGTTTTTAAATATATTTCAGCACATATAAACAGTGTGCACTGATCAAAACAGATATAGTAACATTACATTCTCCTTATTGGGGCTTAATAATATGTATTCTGGTTTTATATTTGGGAAAAATAAAAACAGAAAATATTTGATGACTTGAACAAAGCCGTGTAGGATTTATATAGTCCATAACTCAAGTTTTTATTGCCTCTATAGTAATTCCTTTATGAAAAGAAGTATTCCTTCTTTGTAAAAGGATAAACAGGTGACCAGATCCCTTTTTAAGTGTTGTGGCTTTCATCTTACTTAAAAATAAATGTAAAATAGTTACATTCAAGTAAACACTCAGAAATTATCAAGACAGTTGTTTAGCCCTATATTAATCAGAATGGAAGTGACTAAACCACCTTCTTCAGCCAACTTCTAAGAAAACACAGAACAACTCCCATAGAGTCCATGTTGACGGATTCGTCTTCTCCCTCCCAGGAGTTGAGAAAGAATCTCTCAGGGCTCCAAAGGGAAGAATCTTTTTATAGTTTTTATCTGGCGTCCTTGATGTGTCCAGGACTTCATTCGTCCCCACATTTCTGAGAAAGGACACTGCTTCGGGGAACAGAAAGGAGCTTTGAAGAGGTGAAGCTCAAGCATTCTCTCTCCTTAGCTTCCCCAATTCTCCAAAAGGGGTAAAGATTGGGCTTGGTCTGCACAAGCTTTTTCATGCAGTAAGTGTTCAGTGATACAGGGCTTGTACGTGTCCTACATACACAAAGGACCTCTTTAGTGAGCCTAACACGAGCTCCAGGGAGGATAGAAATACCCAGTGGCTTTACTCTTTGTCTTATTTTAATACCACCACTGCCGGGCACGGTGGCACATGCCTATAATCCTAGCACTGAGGAGGCTGAGGCAGGAGAATTACTGTGAGTTCGAGACCAGTCTGAGCTACATAGTGAGTTCCAGGTCAGTCTCAACTATATAGTGAGATCCTGTCTCAAAAAACAAACAAACAAACAAACAAAAACTCCTATTAATACCACCAGTGAGCTCTCTGTAACAGTTACTGTTCTGTGGCACGGTGGGAGAATTCACATATTGTAATACACTTTTTATTTAGAACCTCCTAACCACAAAGCCCAAATGCCAATATTTTGTTCAAATTCTATAAAATAATAGTTCTTATTTATACCGATAATCCAAGATACTTTATGGCTCTATCATTCATTATGGCCACCTTAATTATGTTCATTAGAGCTTTAGCAGTAAGTGAATTTCACCACATTGTGAATCTCTGAACAGTTAATTGATTTCTATATATAGGAACAAGAAAGAGTCCAAAATATTAGATTAATTTGAGCATCCCATTTAGGACTTTTGCAAATAAAAGCAATTTAATGGAATTTAGTATTACAGCAAATTAGTAAATAGACTGGAGCAAATGTATTTATCACTATGCATTTGTTATTATGTTAATGACAATACTTTGCACATTGTATATGCAACCTATTTTGATTGGAGCTCATATCAAACAGTAGCTTTTTCTAAAATTTAACAATACGTGAATGGAGCTGTTTCAGAGGAATATTAAGTGATAACTTCTTATGCTAATGGATGTTCTCTTAAATGGAAATCACGAGGTCTCCACATTCCTTTGCCTCATAGAAGATGACAGACGATAGATCAAACAGCATTTAAAATATTGTTTTCATCTGTCCATTAAGGATTTAATCACAGGATACCCTTTTATTATAAAACTACCCATGAAAAGTGGTTGTATTTAAAGTAAGTCCATACTTTGAACTTCCAAGACCTTATCAATTTATGGCTGCGGTCTTGTTTCATCTCCAGAATTTTTCCGGGAGCTGTTGGAGAATGCTGAAAAGTCCCTAAATGACATGTTTGTCCGGACCTATGGGATGCTGTACATGCAGAATTCGGAAGTGTTCCAGGATCTCTTCACTGAGCTGAAGAGATACTACACTGGAGGCAACGTGAACCTGGAGGAAATGCTCAACGATTTCTGGGCTCGGCTCCTGGAGCGGATGTTTCAGCTGATCAATCCTCAGTATCACTTCAGTGAGGACTACTTGGAATGCGTGAGCAAATACACAGACCAGCTGAAGCCCTTTGGAGATGTGCCCCGGAAGCTGAAGATTCAGGTCACCCGTGCCTTCATTGCTGCCCGCACCTTCGTCCAGGGGCTCACCGTAGGCAGAGAGGTGGCAAACCGAGTTTCCAAGGTATGGAGAACACGCAGTATTTCTAGATGGTTTTGCTTTTTATTCTGCTTTCAAAACAAATGTTTACAAAAGAAGTTAAGGTGAAATCTGTTACTTGCATTGGTCTCGCTCTTAGACAAATCAGCTAAATACACAAGTTTAATCTGGTTTTGCTTTTTCCTTTGCTTTGCACCAGAGAAGACAGAATTTCAAGTAGCTCTATGTGGCTCAGGAAATAATGTCAATATTTGTCAGCATTAGCAGAGGAGTTTTCATCAAGAATGCTGTGACAACTGTTGGTTTAAAACTATGATCACTTGACATTTCTGATCAGAGTTTCAAGAGTTATCAGTACTCATGGAACAGCCCAGGAAGGGCTTCTGGTGCTTTGGGAATGAAAGTGGGAATCCTGATTGGGACTGCAAGTACAAGCAAGCTGCTGTTAGGATAGTGGCACCTGCCAGTTCTTCTGTGTAGTGCGTGTCAGAGTGGCTGAATTCCGTAATAGCGGAAGAAGAGCTCTTTGCTTTCACCTGTAGAACTGGACTAGGGAGGACCAACAAATACACAGTATAAGATTCTGGGCAGATAGTTCCTTCTGTTATCCATAATCTGTGTAATTCTTGGCCGTGTATTGTGTCAGACTTATGAGAAAGATAAATCACGAACTCACTTTGGGGCCTCTCCTCGAGGATAATGTCCCTGAACCTTTGATGCAAGGGATCACTCTCCACCGCTTTCTTTAAACACTGAATATTTCCTGTGTAGAGGATATCTGCTTTTGTTTAAGTTTGTCCTTGACATTTAACTGCTCTTATGAAATGGGCCTTCCCATTTGTGAGGTCAGTTCTACAAAGAAACCAGAAGACGAGTACTATAAGTAAAGTAAAAACAATACATAAAAGGAATCTGGCATTGTGTCACCTAAGGAAGGTCATATTTGTACAAGGATTATTGCCAAACAGTACTTTTTATTACAGGGCTATGCCAAAGAGCCACAGTGTTTTTCTTAACTATTGGCACCACCCTGCTATATTTTAGTTCTTTTTTTTCCCACTTTGATCTCAGTATTTATATCTTGCCATAAGAATCGTGTATGCTCTTAAAAATGTTTATGGCGTAATCTTTTAAATTCATATAAATCTCTTGTTAAATGACCAGTTTCTGATACCTTTAAACATATGGAAAGGATATTGGCAGAAGACTCTTACACGGATAATTGCTAAGGATTTAATGATACAAAGGATATATAAGTCTGCTGTTCAGCACAATACTTTTTTATTGAATAGCAGCAATGTTCTCTGTGTGGAAGGAACTATATTCCCAAAGGTCGATTAATAAATACCTGGCCATCTGGAATAGCAAGAGGAAATAGGGTCATGAGAGGACAATGTGTAAAATGTAAATTAGTATCAAATAAATACACTATAAAATCTTAGAAGATACATTTTGTTGTAAAGAATTTTAGTTAAATTCACTTCATAAGTTACGCTAAAAGTAAGTTTAGTCACAGAGCCTTCAAACTGAAGCCTGTGCTCTTAGTGAAGAAGAAACAGTGAAAGACATGTGGTGGTAACCTCTGATCCCAGCACTTGGGAGGCTGTGGCAGGAAAATTCAGAGAATTCAAGGCCACTGGGGGCCACATGGTAAGTTCAAGGGTGACCTCAAGTATGCCGTGAGACTTTGTCTCAACAAAGAAAGAGAAATATGAGGGGAAAAAATCAAAGTGTAAATAGATGTATGTATTATTGCTGTCGGTGGTGCTTTTTTTGCCTGAAGTGTAAAAGTAACATTTAGCTGCGTAAGTCATAATCTGAGATTCCAGTGACCTAAGAGAATATGTATTTCCTAGCAGAATGTCTGAAAAGCCACAGAGCAGGTTGCTGCTGACCATTCCTGTGTATGAGAGGGTACCATTAGCAGGTGGCAAGCATGGCCACCCCTTGATCGTTCCTGGACTATCTTATTCTGGGTTCCTTGACCACCAGCATCTGATACACTTCTCCACATGGCGGGAGTTAACATCATGGGCCAACTATGAGTAAATGATGACTTTTCATCTTTTCCCAGAAGTGACGAGGAATGTACTCTAAAACACGGCATTCTAGGTTTGGCTGATCCCTTCATTTACAGAGGAACAGCTTTAGGTGTGGAGTTTGTGGGTCATGTAAGTTTGAAAGTTAATTGTTTTATGCAGATTCTGGCTTGCCTGACCTGAGGCTCACGGTCTCTAATCAACTAATTCATAAATCCCATTCTGACATCTGAGTACCACCTTTAGGAGAAGGAAAGAAAGGAGAAGTGGGGAAGGAAGAAGGAAGGCAATAAGAGAGGGAGAGAGGTAAAGAGGGAGGGGAAAGGAAAGGGGAGAGAAAGCAAAGAAAGAGGGGGTGGGTACCAGATTAAAAGAAGCTGAGCAAGTTTTTCTTCATTCATACCTCAGATGTTTCAGTATTTTCCTAATGAATTTCCCACTCAATGATTAGTAGGTGGCCTATAACTGAGTAAACTAAAACAAACTTGGGATTTTTAGCACTGAGGCTACTTTCATAATAAATATAAAATATCACAGGGACTGGCAGCATGAAGAGGGGAAGAAATATTACTCAGCCATAAAGAACGAGAAAATAGATTCATTCATAGGAAAATGGATACATATTGAAGATATACTCCTAAGTGAAATAAATAAGGCACATGTGTAAATACTGAATAGTTTCCCTGGTGTGAATAATCTGCAATAATACAGAAGATCCTAATAAGATTACTGACATTTAGAAATGGGAGGAAAGGAGCTAAAGGTGTAGGGAAGGTGGGATGGGTAGGGGAAGGGTAATAAGGGAAAAGAAAAAAATGTGAGAGAATGAAAAGATGGAAATAAAGTGTTTGTAGATGGGGAGAGGAGGAGTGGGTGAAGGGAGGGCAGGGACAAGGGGAAAAAATGAGAACCAAGACCTGTCATATAGAGGTACAAGATCCCAATGATGAACATAACTGTACTGTATGCCTAACGTGTACCAATAAAATCAATTAAAGCTGAGAAAAAAAAGCACTTGTGAAGCTTAAGCCTCCCTGTGCTCTGTTAATGGAATGATTTAGAGCTGGTGAAATGAAGGCAAAAGCGAGAAGTCAAGGCAGAATTCCCACTTAGAGATCAACAAAGCACGCTCCTCTCCTGCATCGTATTTTGCGGATTTTGTTCCCTTTGGTTTTTCTCTTCATTGACAGTGACTTGAAGTTTTTGAAGGCATCATTAATAGTTTCTAATTAATTGTTTTGACTGGAAAATTTACTTCTTTGGCAAAACACAGCAGTTGATACAAATATTTTGATGTAACATTGCAGGGAATTTCCTTATAAGAAAAAGAATGGCTAATTTGTAAGAATCACCAGAATCATTATAAAACTCATGTTTTCCATTTTATGGATATAAACTATGACTTTTTCTAGCCTTTGAAAGGAGCAAATTCACTTGATGTGACTATAACTCAAGGTCTGACCTAGAAGCACTCAATGGTTTTGAAGTGAAATTCCCTGGTTAGTGAGGCCAGGATTCATTTTCTATGTGAATTACCATTTTGGAGCATGCCAAATGTTGGCAAGGTGTGGAGCATTGGGAACTTTAATACTTTGCCAGTGGAAGTGTAAATTGATGTCCTGGCTTTAAAAAGTGATTTGCAAATTCCTCTGTTGTCAAAGACACACAAATCCAAAAATTGTAGTTCTTTCCCTGCAGACTGGGTTACACGTGTGTACAAGTAGACACATAGAAGAATGTTTACAGCAGCAGTCTCTGCCACACGTGGTTGTACACTGGAGCACTGTAATCCCAGCACTCTGGGAAGCTGAGGCAGAAGGATTGCACATTCAAATCTAGCCTAGGCAACTTAGTGACTCAGCAAGACCTTGTCACAAAAGTTTAAAAAACTAAAAAGGGGCGAGGATGTAGCTCAGTGCTGAGGCCCAGGTCTCAATCTTAATCAATCAGTCAATCAATAAATATTAAAGAGGTGATTGCTTCACACCATGAAATGCTATGAAGTTTAAAAATTAAGTGAACTATAGCCATATTCTTGGATTCACCATAAAAAATCTTACTAAAGAGTACATACTTCTGATCTGTAAAGCATACATACTATTTGTAGAAAACTTTAAAAAACGTGAAACTATGTGATGTTATTTAGAAATAGAAATACATGTAGTAAGACTCTGATGAAAATTCAGAGAATGGTAAACCTAAGAATCAGATGGTAGTTTCCTCTGGAGATGAGGTTTGGAGCACAAGCAAGGAAGGATAATATAGGAGTTTCAGGGTTGTAGATAGTGTTGTATTTCTCAGTCCAGGTGCTAGGTGGGGAGGCTGCATCTACCATCAGCTCTTCTTATCTCCAGCCCTGATCAAGTTCCTGAGCTACTCTCAGCGGTTTACAAGACTGATTGCTATTTTCGGATTTGCTCACCACTTTTCTCCCACGGTCTAAATCCTGCTACATGGTGGCAAGTACACGTGGGAGGCAAAGATCCACTATAACCACGAAACATTTGGTAGTGTAGTATTCTTAAATAATGGAGCTATCATACATCCTTTTATCATCGGCCCTTTCTTGAAACACAGTTCTCATTCTTTACATTCACCCATTAGTGAACGGAAGCAAGGGACAGCAGCCACGCTGAAGCAACTCAGACTTTGTGAACAGAGAGAGCATTTCAAGAAGAGACCTGAGCAGGTTGTCTACGTAAGCCAAGCTTCGATTATGCATCATGGTGGCAAATGTGGAAATGATCTTAACATCATTACTGGTCATCAGGATGGTGTTTAGACAAGCAAGACATAACTTTCTTATCTTTTTGCTTCCATAAACATGATTTCTTAGGAATAAGAGCTGAGAATTGTGTCAAGAGCAACAATTTTAGCTGGCTATCATGGTGCACACCTGTAATCACAGCACTCTGGGAGGCTGAGGCAGGATTACAAGTTCTAGCCTAGCTTAAGCAATTTAGTGACTTAGACTCTGCCACAAAA